ACTGGGATTTTCTCGCCAGTGTATTGGGATTTTTACGAGCCTAATATCTGAACAAAATGACCTTGGTCAGCTAACCACCAACAAGAACCCCCATAATCCACTATTGCGTTATTCAGCTTTTTTTTTTCACTTTTAAAACCTGGCACAATTGGTTTCGGTAGAAACAAAACCCCAAAAAATCGGCCTACAAAATTATTCTTCAGAATGGGCAATAAACAACTGGATTTTTTTTGCGGATATAAGTGCAGAATTCAACAATATCCAACTACCCTTTATTATTGCCTCTTTTTCCCATGAAAACCAGCTTTCACTGAGGCACAATTTTGAGAAGGGATTAAATTACTATTTTTCCCCGTTAAGTTTCGATAATTAAACTCAAACTTTTAATAGGCTAAATCATTTCACTCAGCATTGAAATGAACAACTTCATACCAAAAGCGGACAACGTGCTTGCTGAATGTTAGCCTATATGTAATTATCATAACGACATATATCTTAATGACATAAAATCCATGGTTGTTCATGTTGTAAACACATAATTCGTATAAGAGACACTATGGAAACCTTCAGCGCTGCTTTTGCCTGCGCCTGGTAATCCATAATTATGTCTGTGTGGTGGGTAACCATAGAGATATGGAAACAAACCGAGACGCGATCATTACGTTACACGTTCACATGGAAATCCCCCGCCCGCCCCGGCCGCCCTTGTGTTACCGAGGGAAAAAAATATTAAAATAACTGTGTATAATGCGTTAAATGTTACTCAACCACAGTGGCGTTGCCAAGGGGGGGAGGGGGGGGGGCAGGGGGACATGTGCCCCCCTGGAAAACCTAGTGCCCCCCGAGTCCCCCCCCCCCCCATCAAATGCTGGTGCCCCCCTATCCTCTGCAAACTTCTGCGCGTTGTTAAAATCATTACCTCAAAATTAGCAATTTCTTGAGATATCTTCAGATCGAATTTAGCATCAAATGTGGCACCATTTTGCATCTAGCCCATCCTCCGTATGCGAACATTTTCCAAAGGGGAGGGGGGCACCCCCTCCCCTTAGACCCCTCCCCCAGGACGGCGATCCGTATCCACCTAAGTGCGCCCCCCATCAAATATTGGTGCCCCCCCCCCCCCCTGTGCCCCCCAGACTGAAAAGTCTGGTGACGCCACTGCTCAACCAGGCCGGAAAAGGGAGTATGGCTTTGTATTAGGTAAAACGCCGGGATTTACAACTGCTCAGAACCAGGGCCGAGTTGGTAGTGACACACCCAGGATTTGGTTGGGGTGGGGGGGGGGGGGAGTTAAATTTGTCCACAAAAATGTGCCTAAATGTTTGGCCGCAGAAACAAATGGTGTTTTTTTGTGTGGGGCAGACTATTTTGACGTTGGTGGCGCCACTTACACCCCTATTATACTACTCAAAAAAGGCCACATACATATCACCAAGGTCAAATCGTGGAACTTAAAAAAGAAAATTACAACAACAACAACAACAACAACAACAACAAATGACAACCGCTGGGGGAGGGGGTTTAAGCCCCCCGAGTTCTTCCCCCCCCCCTGTTGTTTTTGGTTTGTTTTAATTTAAAGATTGAATTACAGTTGTAAAATTGCTGAACCCAAGCGAACACAATAATAATATAACTAGGATTTTAACCGGTACAATGGCTTGCACATCCTCAAGACCACTCCCCCTTCTTTCTATGTGGGGGTTATGATAAAAAAAAACCCTACAAAACTGCACACAGGCCTCCACACACGGATTGTGCACGAAGAGAACGCCCCTTTTACCTTTTCATGACCAATTTTGTTTACGCTTTCTTTTCAAGTATGCACGAGACAAGGGTTTGAAAACACAATAAAAGAACATTGGTGACTATTACAGACAGACGTTTTAAATGAATTCATGGGCGCTGGTACATTCTTTTGCATTCAAGAGTGAATTTATTTTGCCACGGAGCTATATCATTAACAGTACGTTTACGAAAGAGGAATCATCAAATGATGAAAAGGGATAAGAAATAATAGTACGTTCAATTAAAAGCAAATAATTTCAAAGCCCTTTTTGAAGAATTATATCTTCTTTTAAACAAATTCCATTAAAAACGCTGAGCTTTTGTAGCACAGATGGCTGATTATTTTACAAAACTAAATTGCCGTTTTTAATTGAGTTAGCAATAATAATTTTCAAAGGAACAGTATGCATTCAGATTAAGTCAACAGCGACAAAAAATGAAATCACATGTTAACATCGTTCCTGCTATGCGTTATTAAGCTCCATATGGCAATGGTCCCAACTGTAGTTGGGACAACGTGATATAGTTGGTGCGTAACAGGGTCATTGCATTTAAATGGTGATATACTTTGAACGTATTGAGCAATTTCAGTAATTTTGTTATCTAAACGTAGTTTATGAAATTGGGGTTCTGGTCATTATTATTTTTGGTGCTACATTTTTTTAACATATGAAATATATTTTTGGGGGTTTGGGTTCCCCTTTGTTTTACTCACCCAGTATTTGTGTGTTTTGTCACGGTGCTGTTAATACTGAACGTTTACTGGAATGCAAATAAAACGATCGCCCCCAAATTATGCCAGCTTTATGAACATGTATTGTAATCTGTATAACCTAACAAATAATTTAGTGCCTAAACATGTCATTTTGATTTGAAATTACAATACACAAGTGTTCTTACTAATTAGAAAGGAACCGTCTCGTTTTTCTCTCAGCATTGTGTTCCTCCCAATCAGTTCCAAAAAAGATTCCTCGGATGCAAACGTTTACATATTTCTGCGCTGCTTAAACGATACATGCAGGAAGAATCAGGCCCAGATTACCCAAATAGGCACAGTACTGTGCTTAGGGCCTTCGAAAAATTGGGGCCTACGAAAACATGGAGGGCCTACGAAAACTTGGTGGCCTACGAAAGCTTGGGGCCTACGAAAATACCGCATTGTGCCATAATAGGCCTACTCACGCACACACCCACGGGAAAGAGATTTTTTCATTAACAGACGCAGCTGCATGTACAGCATGTATGCACTGGCCCTACGTATACAATGTACGTGTAAAGTTTGTCGTTCTGAAGCACGCCGCCAACCATGGGCGTCGATCGGTGGGGAAGGGGGGGGGGGGACATGTCGTTTCCCAACAATGTTAGTCCCTGAATAAAAAAAAGTTGCGTACATTTGATTCTAAGCTCAAAACAGCTGATCTTATGACTCCAAACTCGAAAAAAGATGTTTAAATGATGATCTTGTGCTAATACTATGGCAATCGTCAGAAATCGTTAGAATTTGTTTCAGGGGCCCATAAGTGGGCTCCGAACCCACGCCATTTTAGGCTTCGCACTCGCATTAGTACTGATCAAGATTCACATGTACGTACCAGTCCCACTTTTGAGAAGCGAATGACACCCTCGGGAATTGGTGCCAACAGGCTGCTAGAGATAGGACCTATCCAGTTTGGCCATGCTTGATTTGTACAGTGTTTTGTATTGAATTATATTAACATGAATTTTGTGTGCGCAGTGCCTAGGGTGGAGCAGGGCCAACAAAACGCCTTTGCCACATAAGGTCACAAAATGCCCCTTCGAGATGAAAATACAACTGCCCTCAAACGCACATGGAAGCATTATGATCGCGTTTAAAAAATGATCTCCTCTCTCGTGATGCAAAAGTGCTCCCCCCCAAAAAAAACCAAAAAAAAAAACGAACAAAAAACACAAATACCGCTCGCGCATTAACAAGATTGTGAACCTTCTCAAGATGGAAAAATCCCTCAAAAACACGAATGACCCCTCTCACAATAAACAATTGTGCCCCTCTCAAAATGGAAAACTGGCCTGTAAAATGTAATGCAAACATTTTAAAAATATATCAAGTATATCAATGCTGGTAGCACATTTTGCTCTGGGTAACATGTATTCCTTGCTATGTAAACGAATATAGATCCACAGTTTTCTCCTCTTTCACACCGGTCGAAGGTGCCTTTTTTCTGAACCAATGCCTCTTTTTGGTGATGCCCCCACTATTAAAAACGTTCCGCCGCCGCTGATAAGAAGTATTACATGTGCTGCACTGGCCGTCATTGCACTCGCGTGGTCACGATTCTCATCATGCCACCGGCTGACGTTAATGTGACATTGTATTATAATGGCATCATTCCCTAGACTTAGCGTAAGTACACAAAAGACGAATTTTCGCAAGCTAGCTAAGGTAGCTGAATTAGAATCAGACAAACACATTTCCCCCAACAAATATTTTGTAAACGGGTCAGTAGTTTGATATAAATATAATAAGGTAGAGAAATTTGCTAGAATTTCACTCAATCAGCGCGATATGTCAGTGCCTGCCGAAAGACGCGCGACGCGAAACAATTGAGACAGAATATGATGAGACAGAAAAAGGACGAGCTTGGTAAGGTTAATTGCTCGTAGTGACTCTGAATAGTCAACTGCTCGGTACATTAGAATGATTGTAGAAAAGAGTTACGTAACAGCATTCATGCGTATAGCGCGATGCTGATGCATCTTTCGTGCAGCTATGGAACACAAAGTAACTCTGTTTTAAACGCAAAGAGAAAAGCACTAGACTGAAACAGCCTAGTTGTTAAGCTGGCTGACAGCGGACCCAGGGTTAGGGGTTCGAACCCGCTTGGTGTCAGTTTTTGGTTTTCGATGCCCGCGTTTCTGTCATTTAAGAGTATTATTTTCCCGTCGTCATTTACCAACAGCAGTTAGCTCGGTCGGTCGGTAAGCTGACTCACAAGTTGGGACTGTCTGCGAAGTCCAGGTTGGCATCTGCGTATAGGTACGGGGTTCTTTTGCTGACTCGGTAGCAAGGCTTAGGGTGCCACCTCGTTTCCTCCCTTTATGGTGCCTGACTTTCGAGTTACATGGATGGACAGGGAAGGAGGTGTGGTGGGCCGGGTACCGAGTCCCAGAAGAGTTCTATATTGGAAGTCGGTAAGGGGCTCATTGAGTTAGGGTCATAAGTCCGACTCCTGAAGACTTGGCTATCACCACATAACTTTTTGTTTTATTTTCTTTCTTTTCCATCGGAGGACAATTGCAACTTAAATGCAATGATTAATTTGCAATGATTAATTTGTTATATTGAGCGCTTGCACTGTAATCGTTCGAAACTAATTTTTAAAATTGCTCAAAAATACAAAATTCAACCCAGCTATAATGTTTTTGATTTCATTGTCGCAAAACTGCATGTACATGCTCAGTAACTTTGCGAATACCTTGTTCAGGCCTGCTCCCTGATCCCAGAATGCAGGGGTTTGGGTTCTTTAAATCCTAAATAGTGGAATTGTTTATGTGCGAAGCCCTGCAGTTGTAGGATCTGGGGACACTTAAAGAGCCCCGGGAAATTTGTGGATTGCAGATGCTCTGTGGCGCAAATATCAAAATTGTAGCTCGACTCTATCGAAATATGCCCTCGTTATTTAGAGTTGTCACTAATAAGAATCAGCTCAATTCGTAACTGGCTGCGAGCGAGCACGTGCTTTTGTTTTGCACAGCTGTAGCTGTTAACCACCGTACATGAAGCGACTTCACGCCGCGGCAGCTTGTGCCGACATGATAGAATGTACAATCTTTGCCATGGATTGCAGAACCTGATTTTAGCTTCGCGGAGTTTTGAGCAGCAGTGTTTATTATTTACAATCTCCACTTTGTTCTTATTCCCTCTTCCTTTCCCTTCCTTCTCCATTCTTTGGAACACTGATGCCTGGATGCTACGAAACACATTATCTGGGCTTGAGAAGAATGAGTATTATAACCATCACCAGGACTAATCATATCCATGCACCACCGATACCCCAACAAACCCAAGAATCACCAAAAAACAAACATTACAGACAGGAATAAGATAACACAGTGGGAATAATATTATGTCTGTGCTCGAGTTCTTAATTCTTGTTATTAAAATAATGAGAAGAATGTATTTTCAGAATTGATTTGTATGCGTTTTGTGGAAAATTCAAATGTGCCAATCGTTAAATATGCCTGTAATCGGGGATCGATTTAGAGTCTTTTTGTGTGACATTTGATTTCAATATCGCTCTTAAAATTCATAATCATGAGCAGCCTTCAGTCGTGAACAGTACTGTAACGGAATCCATGGAACACAAAATGGCTGGAACACGGACCCAGCATTGTTAACAAACAATTAGACAATCTTATCAGAAATTAAGAAACCATAGTTAATGTCCAATATGTTTTACTTAATCCGAATAAAGCCTTGCAGTCGGGTAGCATTTGTCGATCTGCATGGAGATAATAAAAGAAAACAATACACTTTATTTTGTTTTTAAAAACAACAATGGAAACGTTTCAGAGGACCCGTTTAGCCACTAAAATTGTAATGATTGTAAGTATGCATTTAAATGGCGTAAAGAAATGAGGGTTTGCAACACTAGATCTACTTGAGAAAAGATGGGAAAAGACCACTAAATCGATAATGATGGACTTACCATGTTGTAATTCATTCATGTCCGTTGTCAGTAGTTCTGGTGTTTTGAACTTGAATTACGACGCTCTTGGTGCTATGCCATGGGGGTTCACTTCAGAACAATATCCCAATGTACGAAGACATACCCCGTAGCGTCCTGGACATTGGGCATTAGATGTGCAAGCTGAAACATAAACCAACATGGATTCAATTAATTAATTCACTTCAATAAAACATTTTTTTTCACTCTGTGGAGGTATCATCACAAAAAGTCGAAGCTTGTGGTGGATGTGCCCAGCAATACAAGACAAACAGCACTTATTATAGAATTTACAAATAATGACAATAGTTTAATGTGTAGCAGCTAAACAAAGCAGACACGACAATATATAAGCAACATTTCAATAGCGGCTAAATCGGCTCAATGTAGTAATGAATCAAGCACACTGAGAAGGATGTGCTCAACAATACAAGACAAAACAAGACAAAAAAACACTAATTATAGAATTTACAAATAATGACAATAGCTAAATATGTATAAGCATATACACGACAATAAACAACATTCCAATAACGGCTGAATCAACTTAACGATATAATAAATCAGGCACTCTGAGAATTAAGTATGAACGATTTCAGTGTATATTTGAATGTATTATTTGAAGGGCAATTAGTTATAGAAGGTGAAAGGTAGTTTCAGGTTTGGGTCCAGAAAAATACTTTTACTTTTTGTCAGACACAAAAACTACTCTCGCTCAAATAACGACATGGATGTAACTGGTACAATCAGAAAAAAAATATGAAATTTCAAAATAAGTTATTCTTACTCGGCATAATTTTAAAGAACAAAGACTGGGCTTTCCAATAGTGATCCAATGTTCTATTTGCTTTTGTCAATTCAGAGATATAATCAATTTAGTGCGATACACAAAAATCGATTTTGTGCCAATTTTATGCATGGGCAGAGTTGTTTCGCCACTGTGGCACAAACTCGATTTTTGTGTTCCGCAGTAAACTGGAGTTATCTCTGATTGACAAAGCAAATGAGATGAAACAAATAGTATTGGAAAGCCTGGTCTTTTTTCTTTAATGTGATTGCTCAAAACGACTTACTTATGTTGAGATTTGATATTGAAAAAAAAAATCGTTTACGATTGTACCATTTTTTTTTTGAGACAGGCTGTATTTGTGTGGATAACATGTTGAAGGGAACTTTAAAGTCCATGTTCATCCAGGATAAATTGCCGTTATATCCTGAAACTACACTCAACCAATAAAGAAAGTCCCCCCCCCCTTCCAATACTTTTTTTTTGTCTAACTCAAAAACTACTGAGTACCTCTCGCTCAAATAACGACTAATCAGTACAGACATTCCTTAGCAATCCAGCCACACTCTTTATTTGGCCCAAAATAGAGATAATGTGTACGGATTTATGCAATGTATGACAAATGATACGTGCAAGTTGTGGTTCAAACTCACCTTGCACGCATACAACATTGCAACTTTTTTTGGGGTACCATTGGTCATTAATTGCATATTTTGAACATTAATTACGACTGTTTTAGGCCAAAAACTTGGCTGGAAATGGATTTCTGTACTGATCGGTCGCAATTTGAGCAAGATGTGCCCAGTAGTTTTTGAGTTATACAAAAAAATATTAAGGGAGGACTTTCTGTTTTGGTTGAGTGTATTACTTGTTTTATACAACAAAGAAAAATGAAAATCGAATCAAAATATATTTACTTTAAACATATACGATAGGCTTAAGGGGCTGTACTAATTTGGTTATAAGACGACTTCTATGTCGGAACCGTTGAAGGATAATGGAACAAATAACTTACCCTCCGTCTGTGCGAAACACAAGGCACATCCAACGACCATCAGGAGAAGCAGGCACATGTAAACCTTCATTCTGGCTTATCTAGAAAGTGAGGGAGAAAATGACAGACAGTAAGAAACTCTCAATGATGTGGTTGCATTGCCATGTTAGTTGTAAACCAATGCGAGCCTTAAACAAAAAAAAGTGTGTCATATCTTTTTCCCCCGCTGATTAATTCGGCTCAGAAGCAGCAGTAAAAGTACACATAACACGTACATCACTCTCGTTTATGCAATGTAAAGTCACACCAAGGTACATCCCATGACAGATTACCGTAACCTTTGAACAAATTTAATAACCAGGACGTTTTTCTTTCCAAGCTACTGACATATCATATCTGGCCACGTTTATCCAAAGCTTACATTTCAGGTTGAAATGGACTTGAAAACCAAAGCAAAGTCAGGAGGCGGAAATGCACTGGATGCTCTCAACTTGATGTCTACTGAACGAATGCGCCACAACAGCGCCGACTACACGTCTTTGTAGCTGGGTTCAAGTGTCACATAACCGTCATCTAATGCCAGTTTTGTTGAAACACTGATTTTTAAATTCAATACCACGAGATTCCAGGGGCGTTGTTCGTGCTTGTACACATTATGCACATCGTAAACGCAAACAAGGAAAACAAAAACCCAACTCGCCTATCCCATCACCCACCACCACCCCCCCCCCCCCCCAAGAAGATTTTTCTTCAGATTTATCAGGGTATGCTCAGATTACAAAGTTTGAACGAGATGGCTGGTTTTGTTCACAGCTATACATGTATGAGTAAAATAACATGGCACAAATAAAGGGAGAACTGTCAGTGAATATAAGAACATGTAAGAATTTAGTAACAGGTGAAAGTAATTGAAGAACGATCCATGGACAAACAAGAACGTAGAGGGGGAAAACTAAAATGGAATAGGCCTGCTCCATGTTAACTTTTGGATTTTAACCATTTCCCTAAAGGTAAGTTTTAAAAAGTAGGAAAAAGAAAGGTATGGCTAAAAGGAAGAACATGTGTGACAATGAATTGTTTTGTTAGCTTTATACTCATGATTATAAATAACATTAATAAATACCTTGGAGAGTTGATGGTTTCTGATTGGTCGAGACACGTGGCCGTGCATTAACGGTGATAATGACCGGCTTCAAAGAACAAGCGAAAAAAAAGGCCCCTGAACCAGCATTGATCCAGCCCCATGGAAGGCAATGATTGGCCAAATTTACAACAGTCATACGACAGTGTAACAATACAGCTCTGCACATGCGCTCAACCACCTTCGCGTGAGACTGGCGCGCGCGTACGCAACACAGTTGCTATGGGTGCGCGCGCGCGCGTAAGGACTTTTAAAACGACTGTACATCGTACATACAGCAGTGCAGTATACTGAGGATGTTAACGACGAAAGCGTAGATCTACGATTTATTTTCTTTAAACACTTCGCCCAACGACATATTTACCTTTCCTAAACCAAGCATTTTTGTATTTCTGGACACAAGGAATGTGTAAATGAAATTTCAGCTTCCTCCATCAGGTAAAAATATGAAAACATTGTTGTAATTTGTTTCGCTACGGCAGCAGAAGTCCAAACCCTGTGGACGTTGGACGCGTACGCAATGAAGACGTTGTCCAGCAATGTCCAGCACAGCCTGGGCCCGGCTGTGGTGTATATAACAACGCTTATCGAAGAGACAGGGTACCACGCATAAGTTAAAATATGGCCCATGAACATGAACACAAAAAAGACTGGAAATATCGCCGAAAGAAAGTCACAAAATTGGAGCATTTTAACTGTTTATTTCGTTAAAAAGGTATTTACTAATGGGAATAACAGTGTGAGGAGCCGGTCTTCACTGCGTGATAATGACCGGGTTTGGGGGTGACCGCTGTTAATGGTCGTCCATTAACAGCGGTCACCCCCATACCCGGTCATCATCACGCAGTGAAGACCGGCTCCTCACACTGTTATTCCCTTATTGATAAATTGTTCTCAAAATAAAGCCAGTTCAAGCATTTCCGGGGCTGCGCATTTAGGGAAAACAGAATCAGCATCGGTGGAGATCAGTATAGACATCACTGCAGTCGTTGGAGTTTATGCAACATATGGTAATCTAAAAATACATGTTTTATTGCTTTTTGTCTTTGCATGGGCATAATAAAATTCTGCTCTGAACTGAAGATGATGGTTATACACTATTCTAAGTCTGCATTAAAATATGAGAATAAAACTGAGGTACGGTTGCATCAGTGGCGAACGTAATCAGAAAATGGACCAGGATATTACATGCAGCATTGAAGGATAAGCGTGATTTAGAACAAAACTATAGCCTTCATAGCTGATCCCTTGGAGAGTTCTATTTGGGAAAATAGAACGCCCCCATTGATCACAGACTTGATCTTCTTCGTGGCCTATAGCGTATGCACAGAATTGGGTCCAAGCAACATTTTGGAATCTTTTTTGTTTTAATTTAATAAGTGCGACTGCACAATAAGCTTAATTAGGCCGTCTAGTTTGCATAAAAGTCTTGCATGAAATCGATCAAAACGATCCCTGCCAGAGCTGAAAAGTGCGATGCCTACAGATTTTTCAAGGTATGCTCAGATTACAAAGTTTGAACGAGATGGCTGATTTTGTTCATAGCTATACATGTATATAAGTAAAATAACATGGCACAAATAAAGGGAGAACTGTCAGTGAATATAAAAACATGTAAGAAAGTAACAGGTGAAAGTAATTGAAGAACGATCCATGGACAAACAAGAAAGTAGAGGGGGATTGTTAACTAAAATGGAATAGGCCTACTCCATGTAAAGTTAACTTTTGGATTTTAACCATTTCCCTAAAAGGTAAGTTTTAAAAAGTAGGAAAAAGAAAGGTATGGCTAAAAGGAAGAACATCTGTGACAATGAATCGTTCTTCTAGCTTTATTATTAATAACATTGATAAATTGATCTCAAAATGAAGCCAGTCCAAGCATTTCCGGGGCTGCGCATTTAGGAAAAACAGAATCAGCATCGGTGGAGATCAGTATAGACATCACTACAGTCGTTGGAGTTTATGCAACATATGGTTATCTAAAAATACATGTTATATTGCTTTTTGTCTTCGCATGGGCATAATAAAATTCTGGTTTGAGCTGAAGATGATGGTTATACACTATTCTAAGTCTGCATTAAAATATGAGAATAAAACTGAGGTACGGTTGCATCAGTGGCGAACGTAATCAAAAAATTGGCCAGGATATTACATGTAGAATTGAAGGATAAGTGTGATTTAGACCAAAACTATAGCCTTCAGCGCTGATCCCTTGGAGAGTTCTATTTGGGAAAATAGAACGCCCCCTTTGATCTCAGACTTGACCTTCTTCGTGGCATAGCGTATGCACAGAATTGGGTCCAAGCAACATTTTGGATTTTTTTTTTTTAATTTAACAAGTGCGACTGCACAATAAGCTTAATTAGGCCGTCTAGCTTGCACGAAAGTCTTGCATGAAATCGATCAAAACGATCCCTGCCAGAGCTGAAAAGTGCAACGCCAAACAAATGCGACGCCGATGGCACACATGCACATTCTTTAAACTTGCACCTAAAAACTAGAACTTAAACTTACAGCTAAAAACTAGATTTATAGCGATTTGTGGTACACGTGACTTTAATAACAATGCACATATTTTGCCTCCAATTACCAACTTTTCATAATATCTTACTACAAACAATTTTGGTTACTATACATTTTATTAGTTTGCTTTTTTTTTAACAATACAAATTTGGTCCTTATATTTTGTGGGAAACTTATGGGCCTTATTTTGGTCAATTTTCCGGGGACAGACAGACCGACCACAAAGTGACATGAAGAAGCTCATGTAAGAGCTTAAACATGAATCCTCTCTTGGGTATTGCTAGGGGTGCCCTTTCGAATGTATGACGTCATCATGACTTGTTTTGTGTTAAGCGTCCCCCACTGAAAGTCTTATTATTATTGTTTTTATTATAGTAAAAATGCTTCAGTTGGTAGGTTATAATTATTCATTAGTACTCTTTGGAAATCCTGCAAGTATGTCAAAGGCAATATTAGCAGGTAGCCCCATAAATGTGGCCAATTTACTGGACTACCTCCGTAAACATAGGCCACACGTCCACCATGTACAAAAAATGTGGAACTTTGTCAAATTTTGATTTTCACTTTTAGGCTTAATTTGTAGTTTCACGAAAATTAGACATCTGAAAAAAGGCAGCACTTTATGATTAGCCTATAAAGAGGGTGAGTATGCTTCTAAAGCAAACATGACAACAAACTAAGCCTAACTTGTGAAAATCAAAATTTGACAAAGTTCAACATGTTTTTGTACATGGTGGAAGTGTGGCTTTTATTTACGGAGGTAGTCCAGTAAATTGGCCACATTTATGGGGCTAATAAGCAGGGTACTCTATTCAGCTCAAAAGTCGTTGATTACCGTAGCCTGTCAATTTTTGTCCTTCAATCTCTTGAAATTTAGTACATGTAGATGATGACGCACAACAATGTCCACATTTTGGACAAGGGTAACTGTTCGGAGGAAATTCCGTTTGTTCTAATTGTAAAGAGTGTTGGACTGTATTCCTAAGAATAAATGGTTGAACACTACACGGTTTCGGACTCGACTCCTGTGTTTTATTCTGACATGATATACACCGTCTCTTTTCGAGAAGCGAAATGCTAGGTTATAGTTATGGAGGGCGCCATCTGTTGGCGGAACATGTGTACATATTCAATGAGGATATGTTACGCTAATATTGACGCTTCTTTCCATATTTAATTCGCCTAACTTTGACCTTCCGGTAACACCGCGCCGGAAGTGATAGGTCAAAGTAGCACGAACATGTTAAACAAAGGTTTGAATCACAAAAGTGTGAACATGATTCATCTTTTAGTACATGAACTATAATTGAAACAACTCAAATTGTTTGTGTTGAAATCTTATGATACATGGTGACTTTATTATAATACAATACACATTGTATGTGCATTGTTGTATCAAGTGTGTGCGATTAAACTAACGAACACTGTGAACGGGCGAC